AGTTTAATGGCAATGATGATACCACGTTCACAATCTCAATTAATGCCGATATCAAATATAACAAATAAAATTAGTGATACAGCACGTAAACGAGCTATTATTATGTTATTACTTGTTACTTTATTATATTTTATTGCATTTTCACCAGCACAAATTAATTTTATTTATACACAAGTATATGGATTACATCATTTATTTGAAAATCGTCTATTTTTTATTATATCAATATTGTTAGTTTTATCAACAACAGCTTTTAATCCAATATTATTTTATATATTTAGTAAATTTTTTCGACATAAATTTAATACTATTTTACGTCGTTTTTGTCCAATATATCGTATACATTCAAGACGACAAAATGATTTCCCAATGATTTAATGAAATTATCCTTATGATCATGGTTCTTTTTTTTTCCGTTGTTTTCTGCATTAATTACATTCATAATAATAAACATAGATGATCAAAAAACGAAAAAGAGCAATTTTTATTCCTAGAAAACTGTAATAGAGGAAGAAAATAAAATAAAAATCTTACATACATAAAGAAAAATTATTTCACTATCACACAACCAAATTCACATAGAATGATCTAAAACTCCTGGGAACATCTTTTTTTTTAGTCAATAAAAGATGTTTTCGAAAATTCTATGTCATTAAATGTTCACAGTATGGTGAGAATCTCCTTGGTTACATCTTGTTGTAAAAATTTAGAATCAGGATAACTGCCTAATTGCCGTTTCAAATAACCAAATGTTACATGTGATCAAGGCAGAAAAATCAGGTGAAAGAGATATCACAATGAGTCCTTGTTTTTGAAGAGATATTTCAGTATCTTTTATTTTGTTTAGTCTTGCATTGTCATGATTAATACAGCTTAATGACATGCAACACACGCATCGGTCTTTGTTTTCTGATACTGTCAAACAAAGTTTTTGAGCAATTATCTTTTTAGTAGACACCATATATTGTGTTATCACATTCAACCATGTAAATAAACTTCGGCTCCATTCTCAGGTAAAGATCGCTAGGTTGGATCCTGCCGGATGGATTTCAAATCCGTTTGAATACGACAAACCTATCTTTTCCGACGTAATCCGCTCCGGATTCCTTTGTATAGGATTCCGAAGCAAATTGGAGCAGATTCGATCGGTTTTTAACGGAACACGTCGGTTTCTGAAGCAATCTGTCTTGGATCCGATGGTTTTCGGCAAGATCCATAGACCAGATTGAACCGCTTGGAAACCAGTAGTGGTCAGCTAACCGATTTCGAGGGTTTCAGTACAAGACTTATAACATGGTAACGAAACCGTCAGGAGAGATCCACCTTAATTTTCCCTATCTCATGACTACATTAAAGGTCAATATTTAATTGGAAAATTTTTATGAGTATTGTCTTGAAATTAACCATTGAGAACTGAGCAATACTGACCACTGCTTGATTGTTTGATTTCTACATAGATTGATAAAGTTATCTGTTTTCTTTCGAATATTAAAAACTACAGAGTACTGGCTATTTCTATGTCTGAGGATATTCACAATACAACCAAGTTCATTGAATTTTTGAATGCGTAGTACTACTTGAATGTGATTCATTAATTAATTGCGAAACAAGCTAAGACTGGCTTTTCTAGTTCATTATCATTTTCTTAGTAATTGAAACATGGAATCGATATACTCTCGTTAAAGACAAAAACTTATTCAAGAATATTAATGTGATTCATGAATTAACTCTCATGTATTTTAGAGC